GGTAACTAAAGCTAGTCGTCTGATTAGAGAGCACATAATTGAGATATGGAAATTCTAAAGAGAAGGCTACAGCAAGTTTACAGATCCAGTCGAAATGCATTCACAACTTGACAGACCTGTTTATCAAAATCTTGCGACTAGGGAAGTTGTAAGTTGAGCAGTCAGTGGCCTAGTGGATAACGCTTTCACATTTAAAACAATGGATACCGAGTTCGAGTGCCAGTCGGAAAACTATCAACTACTGAGGATTCAAGATGCATGCGTCTGACGAGTTTCGGATGGAACGAAATGCTCACGCCGGATTCAACCACTAGTCACTATACACTAAATAACATCTTCTTAATTCTTAGAAATTGTTCAAGTGTCCGTACTAGTGGCTGACATGTTAACAGAAGCCCAAAATTCAAATTCGTAATTTACGTATTCGTGAATTAATTTTTCAATCTTCCACATTGCAGGTGGAGTTTAGGAAGTTAAGCTTTATCTTCGAAGTTTCAGTAGCAGTGGTATTGTGTTTACCGCATTGGGTTGCTAGCCATACGCCCAACCTTCCTTCTTTACCGAGCTTACTATTGACTAGCAGAAGATTAGGACTTCATCAACCGGGAATCGAACCCCAACCAACAGCATGCTGGCGAACATTCTCTCATTGAATTACCAACACATGTATTCATGAATAAGTAATCTTTCGTAAATGTATATATCTTACCAACCAAAAATCCCATGCATACATTTTGTCCTTCAAACCTAATCCATGTTATACGATTTAAGAACATGAAATATACTCTATAATAAATTCTCTTCGGATTTCGACAGTTAAAAAATAAAATATCTGTAATAACTGATATAGTACTCAGTTATATGGTGATCTACACTGGACACCTGTTTCTTATCCTCTAGTAGTATTTCAATATTCACTGATGGCTCCTCCTTATGCTCATACCGTTATACCTGTTCCTCAGTTTGTATACAGACTGCAATTAGTTAGGTTCCTCTACCTATTCCAGAAAATTCACTAACTTAGCTCAGAAAAGTTGAAGTCAAATACCCAAAAACGTCAATTTTATCACATTTGGCAAATACACGACAATGTCATTATCCCTAAAATTAACTCTAAACGTTATATATCACACTGCGAAGGTATTATCACGCACAAATCACCTACGCCTTCTACATGTCACTTAAGCTAAGCAGATAAAATCCACAAAATTTTGTATTCAAAAACATCACATTCAGAATTCGTTCCTTGCTGTGGTCAGACTTGGATTAAAATTTCTGTTCCTCTCTAAGGTTATATTTCCCCTTCTTTTTTCTCTTTTTTCTTCCACTAAACGGTTTGAGTCAAACCAACTTATAATTTTTACCCTTCACTCTAGAGTCATTTAAATATTATCGAGTTTTCAACTTACATAAATGCTAAAAAACTATTCTGATTTATGATAAGTGATATTATTTATCTTCTCATTATATAGCCCCATCTCATCCATTTCGCATAATGGTTATTTCAGAACGAACTATTCTCCGAAATCTTATTATTGCCTGTTTTAATGCATTCTGTTTTGAAATAGGCAAGTTTTAAAGCATTCAACTAACTTATCAATTTCCTTCTCCATATTATATGCATCTATTATGACTGATCAATATGAGTGTCTAGCATTCCACAATATTCCATAATTACATCGAGTACAACAGGTTTGCGTCGGTGGTTCAGCTATAGAGTGCTGGCCAACCGCGTATGTGGCTCAGGGATCGAGTCTTGGCCAGCTCACATCTTTGCCTGCCTTAACCGGTTATAATCCCAAAAAAGAGGGGAGCTCGGGTGTGAGGCAAGCAACCTCACACCGTAAAAAAGGCACTATTGCTACTGAAACTCTAGAGCTCTAGCTTGAAGGCCCATGTTCCACTGGGAACGCAAAAGAATGTAAATAAAAAACCAACAGATTTGTTAAACAGACACCATTCACAAACACTAATGGTCGATTTAAATGGTATACAACTACTCACCTCAGGCAATCAGTAGTAAATAGTTTTGTGCAATTATGCTTATTATTATTGCTCCCTTGGGTTCCTAGTGGAACATAGGGCTTCAACTGCACGTCTCCATTTTCTTCTGTCTTCTGCTATACTTTTCGCCTGCATCCATGTTAATCCATATTCTTTCAACTCCTCCTCACACGATCTCCTCCATGTCACCCTTGGATGTCCCACACGCCGCTTCCCTTTCGGGTTCCACTCGAGGGCTTCGCGCGCGATGTCACCCAACGGTCTCCTCAACGAGTGTCCGATCCATCTCCACTTTCTCCTGCATATTTGTTGGTTGGTGATTGGTTCTTGTTTTGTTTGTTAGTGCCCATAGTTTCCCATTGTTGGTGATTCTTTCCGGCGCGGCCATCTGATCTACAGTATAGATCCAGCGAAGACAGTTGTTAATAAAGGTCTGCATGCAACAGGCTGTTGGAAATATTCTTTGTGACCCACCTGCCCGCCAAGTTTCTGATCCGTATAGAAGAGCTAACTGACTTGACGTTGTTTGTATTGAAAATCCGACTGGATTTTGTTGTTGATGCTGAGTGACGAAGATTTCCAGATTGATTTCAGGTTGATGAATGTGTTTCTCGCCTTCCCGATTCTCGATTTGACATGCTCTTCCTCTCCTCTTGTAGTTGAGACAATGCTCCCTAGATAAGTGAATGAAGTAACCTCTTTCAAATCCCTCCCGTTGATGGTGATTGACGTTGGATGTTGTTGTTGTTGTTGGTTGGTTATTTTCATAACCTCCGTCTTGTCTATGTTTACCTGGAGTCCTGTCTTTGCTGCTTCTTCGACCAGTTTGTCGGTTTTCGCTTGTAAGTCTTCTACTGCGTGTCACATCAAACATAAATCATCCACGCGCGAAATCCAGGTCTTCTAAGTTCTTCACGTCGGTCCAGGATATTCCTGTCTTCTCGTTTCCCACAGTCTGACGCATAATCCAGTCCACCACAATTATGCTTACGTAACTGATTATCATTCATGCTATCAAGCAGATCACATGAAGTGATCCGGATAATTTACTATTTCTGTCAAACGCTTGAAACACGATTTATGTGTTCAGAAAGAAGCAGTTATCAGTCTTTTCTTGCCCTAGTGACTGGATGTCTTTATTTTCTCTTTCATTTGACCAAGTTATCTTTGGCTTTAACCTCACACACCTTCTTTGATATAGTGAAATTTCCCTGCCCCTTGTTTCTACGATTTGAGTTGAACTCAGTACATTGTTAACTAATTTATTAGTCACTTAGCATCTTACGAATCTCCCGTCTTTATTACGCAACTCCTTAGCCATTGTATGCAAACATTTACTTTGTTTAAACTTTAAATGCCTGTGTAGAAACCATATAACCGTAATTTTCTGAACACTGTTCACCAATTCCGGAACCCCATGTCAACTGATATCATACAAAATTTGCAGGAATGTTAAAACTTTTCGGTATACAAACTTAACAATTTGTTTAGGCTGTAAGCAGGTCATCAGAAATCAACGAAATAAATGATGGTACCATATTATTCTGCACAAACCACTGTTTTTCTTGCTTTATTCAAATTTGCTTTTCAAAGAGAGCCGTGGAGAAAACTTCACCCTCTCGAACTATGTACCCTGCAAATTGTGAATTGGGTTTCACTGGTTTACTTAGATTACGGACAATACATTTACTGGCAAACGGGAACCAGTAATTAATACTGTTCCACCGGTTGCTGTGCTGAGTTCAATTTCAAGCTTATATGCAATAATGTTTCTATGATCAGAACAAACTTTATCTGCGAGAAGGGAGAATCTTAATCCCCAACAAAAGCGTTATTCTGTGCACACTGTTTCAGGAGTCTGTGTTTAGATATAGTCAAGAATAACAGAAGATAGTAAAATGTGTACTTTACAATATGTTTCGGAAGCTCAATATATGATTCTTTCTATGAAATAATTATGTATGTTATAATGGGTTGAATGTTGCAAGTAACAGAAAATGCGCGCGCGCGCGAAGTTTACTCATATCAAATCTCATTTATTGTTTCAGAGGTGACCGTTCAAACTGTAACTATTTACAGTTTTCTGGGATTTACCCCAGACTTCTTTACAAACCGTTATAGATTGCAGAACCACTTAAAACCAGACAGCAACAGACAGTTGTTTCTTCCTAGTTTGCAACACTTTGGCAATAAGCATTCATGATGCTAACGAACCCATGGAAGCAGAACTTTCAGGTGATGAAGGTCGGATGCCAATGGCAGGTGAATTCTTACTGGTGATAATCCACGGTATACAGCCCCACTGCTAGTCAACAACGTCGGTGGGTATCTATTCTTACAACTGTTTGGATGGACTATGCTCGTCATGGCTTATGAAGAGAACTGAAGGAAATCCCTCCCGTGGTAACTAAATAATGGACAGTGGTCCAGTTTTCACATGTTGACCAGTGGGAGTTTGGTTAGTTTTCGGTTGGTTTACATCATAAATGGACATCAATTTGAATGATGAAATCCAAGCTGAAGTTATTTAAATCCAAGGTAACCAATACTCGGAAATGTTTTTAGAATGTTCTGAGACTAAAAGAAACGGGAAAATAAAATGTCATGATTTGTAATTTTATTTGCCATTTTCCGAGTGAGCAGCATGACAATTCGATCGACAAAATTTTGATCTCGCAAAAATGACCCAGAGGAAACAGATTCAGATTGGAAATTTTCGGTCACCTATAGGTGTTAAAAACTTCATATAAAAATATGAAATTAGTTGGTTTAATTCGTGTTGCGCAAATGCAAGTTGTAATTTTGTCGTGACAGACCCACACTGTGTAATGTGAAACTTTAAGCGCGCTGAAAAACAGCTAAAATAGGAATTGTTTTCTAAAAATAATTGTAATTATGAATTATTACCGGGACTTCTACTATTCAAACTGAACTGTATGGAGAAAATGTTTTAGAACCTTTTACTTGTAAATTAAAAACTCCCGTCTGTTACTTACAGAATACATTATCTCCGTCCAACCTTCCATTGTGATACACTGAAATACAGTAAGCATTGCATAACCAATATTATCGAAACTTGTAATCCCGTAATTTGGTCCTTCCCAGTAACCTTTACATATATAATTTGGTGGGCATAAAAATGCCCCTTGTGGAACAGCTCCTGTACTAGTTGCTGAACCATTTGAAAGACTACATGGTGCTAATGTTGGTCTATTCGGTAGAGAAAGTGGTAAATAGTCTGGGTTATCTAAAATATAAAATGGGCGAAAATGACAATAAATTACTGAGTGGACAATATGATATAAAGACTAGGTGTTATGACTTTAATGGAGAATTCATACATACTAATAACACTTAACGTTTGATTAGATGACGACTGTCTCCCTGTATAAAATAACGCAAAAATAGAAGGACTGATCACCAGGGAGTAATTAATGTCATGCTCCCAGTCCTTCTATATCAGTCAGCTTTGAAATATGATCACCAACCTAGGTGACTTTCTGTTGTGGTCTGTTTCGGATTAGAGTAAAGTGGTTGTCGGCAGTCGCTAGAAAGCCAGGTACGTAAGTCTCGCACTTGTTGGTACTCGTCAGCAAGGCGTATCTACGATTTCGAAGGAGCTGGTGTCTCCTATGAGAATCAGACCCGCACCACCCACTGCTGCTGCCAGTGAGCTGTTATGGTTCATAAATGACCTCTAATAGGTTTGTAATGAAAATCCTGAATAACACATGGCATATATATATATAGTTCTTAGTGCTGGCTAGTTTCTATCAGTGAAGTTCGCATGGTGTTTACCACGTTAAATGACTCGCCGTCACAATGCACTTGTAAAGCTCAGCGATGACCTCTATGACATAATCGGTGATTGATGTGATTTTGAATCTCCAGTGGGACATCAGTCCCTTCCGTGTTGAAGATACACTTTGCTAGCGAGTTCTATGAAACACGAAATTTTTTTATTTTTTTTATTTTTGATTACAGCTTGATTCAACACCGTATTTTTGGTACAAGTAGGGAATCTTCAGCATGGGTATCGGTAGCCCGAATTTCGCAGCCCGACCATAGATATCAGGTGTGCGTTGGCAGGGGATCAAACCTCGGACCATGTGCATGGTCGGCGAGAGTCCTAACCACTGTGCCACCGAGGCACGAAGCTTCCTAACGATCACCTCCAACCACTTAACACAAGACAGATATAGTCAGTTAGACACTGCCTGGAATTTATTGCCCAAAAAGAGTTGCAGACTTTGTCTCCGAAGTTGTTCCCTTCATACGAAGACTTTAGACGTCTCTCGATAATGTTTATTCAGGGAGAGAAAGCCCCGACTCAATGCTTTAAAATAACTCTGTTCATAGAATTCTGTACATCGTCTATTCTTCTGTACACGTATTTTTATTTTCTCTTATTTAGAAGGGAAAATATCGGTATACTAATAGCTGAGAATGACGCTTTCCATTAAATCAGTACAAGTTATCCAGTGAGATATGTATGAGGTTTAAAAGTGCTTAATAAAACGTGACCAACTGTTCTATAAAGAGGCGACTAAGAAGTATTCCGTCTCAGTTAGTAAACTTTAGAAATTTCTGTTTTTTCTATGAAAAATAAAACTTAACACACCCGCACAAAGATGACGCATATGTTTCGAACAATTGTCCTTAAATGACCTAAATGATAAATGAGGATAGCAATAAATATTTTAAAAAAAGTTATAATAAGAGCTGAAAAAAAATTTGGGCAGATTTTTTATACTTTTCTATGATATATTATGTATGTATTACATTCACATACACGCACACACACAATTAGAGGGACAATTATTTTGCCTTCTGGAAGCTCAAATCTGAATCAAGGAGCATTGAATTGTCAAATTAGAATTACTGTTTGCACTCAGTTATAATTAATGTATTTTGCACAATTGTAGATTGCAAAAGACTGAATTTTGTGAACAAAGATAAATTCTTCATCAAGTTCTGTGGTAAGCTGCAAATTATTGTTATTAACAACTTTAGTATTTCAGATTATTGAGCCCACTGGCGATGACTTCTGAACACAAACTTAAGATGCCCATTTAGCAGTAACCAACATGCTAAAAATTGATATTTGATTTATGGGATTTCGTCCAGTTGAAAATTTACGAGTTACTGAATTCTGACCCAAGTGGCTGAATGGTCAGCTAGCTTAGTGTCATAACCTTAAGTTAACGGAATCGATCCCTATCTGTGGGATCGTGGTTTCGTACTGTTGGAGAATCCTAAACTTAGCGAAACAACTGCTTAGAGCTCCCGGTTTCCAATAATCTCTATATGACGTTTTGGTTCATGGCGAATAATGCTGGATCAAAATTATCGTCAGATTACAATTTAGAAGTATCAGTAAACGATGATGTGTACGAATATAACACCGAAATTAATGTATGGGTTCCACAGCAAGCTAAAGAAGGGGTAGTGTCTGAACACGGAGCTCCGGCGTAGCCTGCTGCATTATTATTTATTTATTATGCCCTTGAGTTCCGAAGGGAACATAGGGCTTCAACAACACTTCTCCACTTTATTCTATTACCTGTTGCCCTCTTCAGATGTGTTCACGATTGACCATAATCTCTCGTCTCATCTTCTTAACATGATCTTCCCCATATTGCCCTCAGACGACTCACTCGTCACTTCTCAATGGTATTCCACTCGAGCGATGGACTACACTGCATGCAATGTCATTCGACGGCCTCCTCAGTGTGTGCTCAATCCATCTACATTTTCTTCTTGTTGAGAAATCAGCTCTTGCATGTTGGTTTGTTCCCAAACAGAGTTTCTTGTTGCTAATTTTTTTCTGGCTAAATATGTAAATTACTTACAACTTTTATTTAATTTTAATTTTTCCTGACTTTGCTAACTGAAATTTTGCATGTATACAGTCCTACCCCACCAATAAGTGGAAATGTTCCCCTAATTTACAGCGAAATTTATCAACGATTCAGTAAAAAGCCACATAGCTAAAGTTTCACATGACTTCATGGCATATCCATTTAGAATTGTGAGATCCTCATGAAACCTTTAGAAATTGGACGAAAACCGTTCATCAGGTGTATAATGTTTGTCGAAAGAGAAGTTCCGCAAAAAACCCTGTGGATGGGATTTTTAAAACCCGACTTAACTTGGATGTATTATAAGTACTATGGTAAGAATAAAACGGATTGGGACTTTCTATGACTTCTTTTCTTGTAAGACGAAACAATAACACATCGTGTTCTAATTTAAACCAATTTAAAAATCTCAGTTTGTTATACATCTCGAATTTCACTCAATCACAGAGTAACTATATTTCTCAGTATACCATATTTTGTATTAATATATTCTGTGAAGGTTAAAGTCCATTAATTATTACTCTTTTTCGCCTTAAAGTACTCCAATCACTGTTTTGTATCAGTAAAAACCTCCTAGACAACGGTGGTATTCTCGTCGTAGTTGTCGTTGGCGTTGCAACAGGCGATCTGTGCTGGTTTCCGTTTGAGTATATGGTCTGCATAGCTTGCGGTCTACTAGATTGCATTACAGGCCATAGTGTCTCCATTTTATGGTGCAGCCTTTCTTAAACTAAGGTATAAACTTAGGCGATAATTTTAGCGTCGAATTCTGTTCATTATCAGAAAAAACGATTGGACAAATTAAAGAATAGTAATCTCAGGAAGCTGGCGCACCATTGGCTGTGAAACGCGAGAGTACAGCACGTCAATGAAACCACGTGAATAACACTACATTCGTCGAAAGTGATGAAAAATGCAAGAATCTTTAAAAAATGGATCAGGTGAGAGGTTAGTTAAGGGAAAACTTAAGGTTTGGGTTGAGCCAAGAACCAAAATTCCCGTTTTTAGAGCGAATGATCATTCTTAAATCAGTCAGTAGTGTGTTGATCCCTCGTAGGTCGTTATTTTATAAATTTATTCAAACGATTCTTTAGCGGCAATAACATTAAGTTTCCCGAAGATTTTAGAAGTCTTCATCACAGCTGCATGCAAAATTTTTGACATAAGAATTCAATCTAGTCTTTCAGAATACTAGCCCAAAACAATAACTTCTCAAACCTGACTGGAAATGTAATTGCACTAATGGATGACAACATACACCTTGTCAGTGCTTTTGTCATTTATTCGTCTTAGGAACTGTTCTATGATTTTAGGGTTTCAAATCAAAGATTTACAATGAGAATAATAAAAAATACAATGTTGATTTCCTAGAATTACAGCTTTTCAAAAATAAATTCATGAAGGCGTAAAGTGTCAACTTACTGAAAGCCACAAAGTTTAAACCGATATCCTCAAATGATGAAGGTCTAAGGCTTTCTGCCCATAGCCTCCAACAATCCAAGGGTGAATTTTCATTGATGTCTAACAAAGAAGTACTATGGTTACAGAAATATTCACCAATGGAAGAAAACTGTGTCTTAATAGCTTATCCTGGCTAACAATTAGCATTTTTTTCAGCTTTGTAAAGAATTATTCTAAATTTATAAGCAGATAACTAACTTTAATTGCATTTTAGATTTTCTCGTCGATTGATTGGACCGAAGCGCTGGGTCTCAGATTGACATGTCGGCTTCTTGTGCAGATGCTTCGACGATGTCTAGGCATGTAATTAGAATTTAATTGGTGTATGGTGACTAGCAGTGGAATCCAGGATGCGTATTTCGTCCTATTTGGGACTCGTCATCTGGTCCAAATAACCGACGGGGAAATCCAAAACATAATTAAATAATTAAATGATCCGTTGCACAAGAGGTGGCTACTGTGGCCCAAGTAGTCTAGTGGATAACGCTTTGGTGTTTATTAATATAATCACTGGGTTCGAGCCTCGGGGGGGGGATATCATCACCCACTGAAGAATGCAGGTACATCTAGTGGCGAGTCCCAAATAGGACGAAGTGCGCATTCTGGATTCCACTGCTAGACACCACCCACCAATTAAAGATAACTAACTGTTTTCACATCCTCCAGACTGATGGTATTATTATCCGAATAATCCATCATACAAAACTTTATTTAGCAAAACTACATTATGCTATTAAAATTAGTTCATACGTCTTCTAGGTACTTATTTCATGACGCCAGCAAATAAGTGGTCCAGGAATCGTAGGGAGATTTGTCAGAAGTTATTCACTTCCTATACTGTACTTATTGTATTTGCCTTATAAAACATTAAATCTGTATAAATAAGCGTCTGTCATACAGTGTGGTTACTTATTCATATAAATACATAGATAAAATCCCGAGGAACTGCTGCAAGAAGGTTAAAAACAGAAACATAAAATTGTAGCCGCCAGCCCCCCACTAAGCCTTTTCCACTCCTTCGGGTGTAGGTCGAAGTAGTAAGCCAGGAAATATGCAGAGGAAAATAGGAGTTAATCGGGCATACTTTGTGAAAACATTGAGGGGATATTATCTGCCACGCCATCAATTAGAACATGAATAGAAACTGTGAGGTCGGAGTCGGACGGTACCGTGGAAAAGGTCATATACAGAGAAAATGAAAGCTTATATGCAATTGTGGAGTGTGCTTAAGAAAAAGCAGAAAGCAGAGGTAAGTGGAAATGTGTTGTTAAAACCCTGTGTTTCACTCTTAATCCAAAGGATGAATGATAATAATAGTAGTGTGAAAATAGTTCATGAATGTGCGCCACTATTATTAGGCGTGAACCAATGTTACCAACGCATTCATTTCTGTTGACAGTTACTCACTGAGCATACATGATTCGAGTGAGTAATACATCGTTAATTCAGGGTTGTGACTGTACACTTCTAAACAATGTCGTCTGATATGTGCTACTTACAAAGATAACTACAAGTAGTATAGACTGCAGTTTTCCTGAGAATATTTATAAGGGTTGCCCAGCAAGCCGATTTCTTAAAGTCATTGAGAAAGCAATGAGAATAAGAACATATGAACTACGAAAAAACAAGAGCATAATAACTCATATTCTTAGTAGAGCCATACTGCTTGGTAGATAACGTCAATCATACAAAGAAAAGCATCAACAAACTCTGTAGCTTCGAAATAATTTGAGGACTAATGATAATTATAACAAGACATGTTTGTGCAAAAAAAGTAATACTCTACTCTGTTGCGTAGTTAATGTGAATTTCGTTCAGTGGGGTAGTTTCGTGCGCAATTTCAGTCTGAATTATATTTTATGCAGAAAGAATTTTTTAAACGCTTCACTGAAGCAGATCGAAAAATGCTACAACCTCATCAAAGTTATTTTAATTTGAACGCTGTTTTTATTATACAATCTCATCGAAGCATTATTGCGTCTACTAGCTAGACCATATGTCTTTCTAAGAAGGCAACTTTAGAATTTCTATGTATATATATATGTTTTTATAATTATGTTTTCAGAGGACAAAACTTACTGTGTTGAAAAAAAATTGAACTTTTGTTTTAATCAGTTAAAAGCAGTAAATTTTAACTGGACACCATTTTAAATTTTGGCCTTATAAAATTCATCATCGCCACAGGACTTGGATTTTAGCTATTATCTTTTGAATGACACAGAACATAAAATGAAACTTATTTGTAAAACAGATGATTTATGGTGTCTGTGCTACATAATTCATTCCTTTATGATATATTTTAGATCTAATTTAACTCATCTGTCCAGGAGGGACATGACCGTTATTTAGCAAATATTCTATCTAAAATGAAACGTAGAATGCATTCCCTTTTGCATGACGGCTGATGTCAGGGACGATAAAAAGTATAAAATTAATTGAGAATATCGAATCACACACCAGAATAATTTCCTGTGGATCATTTCCAAGTGTACTGCTAACAACCAGACACATGATAATAGCTGTAGTTAAATGACTAATCGTATTGAATGATACGTTATCTACTGCTGTTTGTGTTATTAGTCACACCGTTAATCAAACTTCAAGTTTCCTAGGAAGGTCTTTCTTGCATACATCTGTCTTCTCTGAATGTCTTACTGAGGCCGATATATGAAGTGTTAAATAATCGAAACATCAAAGTTATCACTTAATTGAGCAATCCAATCTCAGAAATACTTATCATCCTATGAATGAAAAGCAACAGAACATGGTGAAGCCCTAGTAATTGTATCATAGAATACTTCTGAAAGAGATAAAACATTGGATTGTAATTCATTCGGGTAACAAGAAACCATTATCCGGCAGACTTACTCGGTACAGATTAAGGTTATAGAGTAGCATTTCAACTTACAAAAACGAAGTTATCTTTGGGCAACTTACACAAATCAAAGCATGTCATATGAAATCCACCTGAATAGAATTCCAGGCCAATAATTGCAAATATGATTATAGCGAATAGAACTAATAAGCTGATCTGTAATAATGGAGCCATAGCTCTAATAATAGATTTGAGCACAATCTGTAAACCTGAAATAAAAGATATTGATAAGATATGAGAGGCTGAACTTAAGGAAAATTGCCGAATTCCGTGTAAGTTTAAAATGAAATACATCTTTACAACAACATACAAACAATTTCGAATCCGGGACAATAAACAGAATCTCGTAAAAGTTACGACTTTTCCCCTGAATTTTTGAATTCTCTGATATGCATTTACAAAATGAAGGTGCAACCTCAGCACATTTAAAATTTATTAGGGATAGTCGTATACAAAAATATTTTGTGCACGTTGGCTTCAAATTTGTTACGCTTTCTAGGCTGTATGCCAATCTATTGTATTTCAAAATTGAAGGACACTAAGTAATTTGGTAGGTGGTGACCGGCAGTCGACTCTGGGATACGCATTCCATCCTATTAGGGACTCAACAACTGGACGTTCCTGCAACCCCAGTGAGTGATGGTGTCCCCACTGAGACTCGAAATCAGTACCCGTCGTTTCATATGTCAAAGATTTACCTACTGGACCACTTGGGCCATTACAGACACCTTTTGAGAAAAGGGAGTTGGTTATTATTTATTTTTGATTCAATCCTGATTTTCTTGATCAATTGGACTGAAATGAGTCTAAGTGGAAACACCATCAGTCACTTGTAACATAGGTATAACCAGTGACTAGTCCCAAATAGCACGAAATAAGCCTCGGGTATTCCACTGCTGGCCACCAACCACCAAATTAACCCAAGTCAATCTTCTGACATCCTCGAAGCATGCAAACTAGCAGAGAACATGTCAACAGATGACAAACACTTTGCTCCAGTCAGACAACGGAGAAAAGCAATTTGAATTAAAAACAAAAAATATCAGGTAGTATCTAAATGTTGGATCTTGTAATCAATAACTTAGGTGATCATGTGTTAAGGTGTTGCCTTAGTTTCTTTTCCGAATCAAATATGATAAGTACCAATCTTGTTTTACCAACCACAAACTCCTGGTACATTTATATAAATGTTTTATTTGGAATTTCTACAAAAAGGTTCAAGCATATTATGTCAATGATCTGAATAAATATTGTGTAGAGACAAGAAATTAAGCAAGTCAATAATTTTTCATTTTAATTCGTCTATCCTTGTAGAGTGTGTGAGACCTACCACGGAACACGAATAAAACGAAAAGTCTCACTTTTTGAAACTTGGATATTTTATGAACCACAGAAAGAAATATACAAAGATAATTTTTATATACATGAACAAGAAAGTTGCTTCAGTACTTTGATATGATTATTATTATTATTGCTCTCTTGGGTTCCTAGTGGAACAGAGGGCTTCAACTGCACGTCTCCACTTGCCACTTCTGTCTTCCTTCTGCTATACTTTTCACCTGCAACCATGTTAGTCTATGCTGTTTCAACTCCTTTACACATGATGTCCTCCATGTCACCTTTGCGTTGACGTCCCACACGCCACTTCCCTTTCGGGTTCCACTCAAGAAATGTGTTGACGCGCGATGTTACCCAGCGGTCTCCTCAACGAGTGTCCGATCCATCTCCATTTTCTCCTGCATATTTGTTGGTTGGTGATTGGTTCTTGTTTTGTTTGTTAGTGCCCATAGTTTCCCATTGTTGGTGATTCCTTCCGGCCAGGCCATCTGATCTTCAGTAAAGAGCCAGCGAAGACAGTTGTTAATAAAGGTCTGCATGCAACAGGCTGTTGGAAATATTCTTTGTGACCCACCCGCCCGCCTAGTTTCTGATCCGTATAGAAGAGCTAACTGACTTGACGTTGTTTGTATTGAAAATCCGACTGAATTTTGTTGTTGATGCTGAGTGACGAAGATTTCCAGATTGATTTCAGGTTGATGAATGTGTTTCTCGCCTTCGCGATTCTCGCTCGATTTGACATCCTCATGCTTTCCGACTGTCTGTAGTTGAGACAATGCTCCCTAGATAAGTGCATGAAGTGACCTCTTTTAAATCCCTCCCGTTGATGGTGATTAGCGCTGGATGTTGCTGCTGTTGTTGTTGGTTGGTTATTTTTATAACCTCCGTCTTGTCTATGTTCATCTGGAGTCCTGTCTTCACCGGATGCTTCTTCGACCAATTTGTCACATGTAAGTCTTCGATTTTGTGTGGCATCGAACATAAATCATCCGCGCGCGAAATCCGGGTCTTCTAGGTTCTTCGCGTCGGTCCAGGATATTCCTGTCTTCTCGTTTCCCACTGTCTGACGTATAATCCAGTCCACCACAATTAGTAATATCGTTGGTGATAATAGGGAGGCAGCCTTGTCTGACTCCTGCGTTTATTCCAAATGCCTCGCTGAGTTTTCCGTTGTGGATCACTTGACATGTGCCGCTATCGTACAGCTGTTGAATAAGGTTGATGAATATTTGGGGTACGCCGTAGTACTCGAGTAGTTTCCAAATTACTTTGAGGTCAACACTGTCGAGCTTCGATATGATTGTAAGCAATAATTTGTGCTCAAAACGTCATCACTAAATATTAATGTACAACAGTATGTGATTTTATCAAAATAAAATTTTATCTATAATGGAGTTATACTCTACAACAGTGCTCAATTTTTATCCTTATATCACTGTTACAACCGGTCAACTTACGAATCACATTCTACAACAGAGAGTTAATCCAGTTGTGCATTTAGGATAAGAAACCGTTTTGACCACTTTAGCGTGTATTTCTCAATTTACGTATTCGTGTGGAGGAAATTAAATCGTCCGTAAACAAAGTCAAGTCCGCAAACCTATTCTGTAACACTGTTCAGCCAAGTTAGCCACAGGAAGAAAGCAGAACACCAGTAATTCCATCCTCGGACACCCTGTCTTCTCCCTAATTCCGTCACCCCTGCATGAAAGTTTCACGTGAAAGGATTTCGAATACGCCATTTATGCATAACCGAGCCACTGGCTTTACGGGACCTGAAACATGACATTCGTTTTCAAAAATGCTATGTGGACTCCCTCACCTTACCATGGTAAGAGTTACACTTTGCCATAATCCTGTTTCGCTTTATTGGTTGAGTTTATTATTATATTTTCATAGTTAATATTATTATCATTACTATTGCTGTTTATCAATAACATTGTATTTCTCGTGCAGACTGTGCATGAACACTACCATATTTCCATTAACTTTCGCTTATTTTGTTTGTTTAGATTGATTAGTCAATTTTTTCTTTTATTACATAGTTCAAACTTGTCTCTTTTCTCCAATCTCCTCTTAGTGTTCCGTTTTTTGGATTACACTCCTTTTTGTTTGATGTATTTCCTAGAACATAGCTGCTGGTATCTGAATGGTGTTCTTCAGATATACATATGAATGACTGTGTGGCTCCTGAAAAGTATTCATCAGATAGAAACTCCATCAGTGTTACACATTCTCTTGGTAAACGATCCGAGAAAATAAAGTGATATGATGTTATCTAGATTAATCTGATCTATTCGAGTTCATCAGAGGAAAAATCACGTAAAATGCCTTATATTTTATACATACTGTGAGTGATACAAAATGATCCACAGAGAAGAACTTACTTTCAAATCCTGTTACTAATTTAAGTGGCCGTAGCACACGTAAAGCACGAACAGCAGGTTGATTAAGATTTGGGAGAATGTAGGCTAAAAGACTATTTGAAAAAAAGAGGAACGAATCAAAACACAAAAATTATTCTACGAACACTTCACCCTAATTTAGGAAAAATTTAAACTTTGCACGTGCAAAACAAAAGTTAACTGTGAATGCATCCCTAAGTCTGCTTAACAAAACTTAAAATTCTGACTCCTTCAAAAATTGATGTCATCTGGAAGAGTCACGAGTACACGAAGGAACTTCTATTATCATTATTTGTGTCAATGAAAATTATTCATCTTTCTAACGAAGTGACATTCTAAATAACCGGTTACAGGGATAAATTATTAGCTTCTATGTATGATATTGACTATTTGACTATTTTTTTCCTTCACGTTCCCTAGTGGAACATGGGGCTTCAAGCTAGTGGCTTGAAGTTTCTGTAGAAGTGTTTATTTTACAGGATGGGGTTACTAGCCTCATGCCCAACCTTTCCTCTTTACCAGTCTTATAATTCATTTGGCGAGGTAAACGAGTGCGTTGGCCGGAGATCGAACCCCGGACCATGTGCATGGTCGACAAGCGTCCTAACGGCTACGCCACCGATATGTATGATATCATGCTGTTTTTAATTCGCCTGCGGAATAAGCTTATATTCACTTTTCTTCAAGGGTGTATAACTTAAGGCCTCATTATGGTTCTTAGTATCTAGGCAGCTGATAAAAGAAATTATGTTTGTACGGAAATTAAGAAACATATACTGTCATCATCAGCATAGCATTATGCTCATTTTCAAGAAAAGAGATCAGATTATTAGACAAAGTTATATGAAGGTCTTGACAACGTTTTATTCGATTTAAGCAGTTATGCTTTCTTGTAGATTCACCTGTTTCTGTATAGAATATTTACTTCAATCGGTATAAGTTGTCTGGTTGATACCCCAGTCTGTATGAGGTTTAAAAATCCTTTGAATGTACCTAATAAATCTCGTGTTATCATTATTTTAGAAATTCCTACCCTAAAGTCAGTGTTGAGTAATCTGCCAAGCACATAGGCTATTTATTTGGATGCTACCTTTATATCTAACTTCTTCCTGAAACTCTACATTTCAAGTGATTCGGAGAAACAATACATGGTTTCAAAGAAGATCAAAAATTAACGTCTGTCCTATGTAAAGTATCCAAAAGCGAATGTTTTGGGGGGAAAAATCAGCAAAAGTATTATCAGATAATCCAGAACATGTAGAAAATTAAAATGATGAATAGAATAACCTGAAGGAAAGAATTCATATGAGGAAATATCACAGTACATCTGAAAATCTGAATTTAGTCCACAGCGAAAAACTTAAAATTAAACTGTAGAGAATTTATTTAGCGGATGGTGACTAGCAGTGGAATCCAGGATAACGCCTATTTCCTCCTATTTGGGACTCGTCAGATGGGTGTACCTGCATTCCACAGTGAGTGATGATGTTCCCAACAAGGCTCGAACCCAGTGCCTATAGTTTTAAACGCCAAAACGTTATGCACTAGACCAATTGGGCCACGACGGCTACCTCTTGTGCAACGGGTCATAATAATTATTAACTGGATTTTAAATTTCGCCGTCAATTGATTAAATTGTAGAGAAGTTGCGACACATCAAGTTATCAAAAGGCTTCAGTTAGTTGCGTGATGGTAAATGGTTTGGATGAAAGCTGGTATATACTTTTTTCTGTTAATTCACATCCAAATTAACGCAATGGGATACAATTTTGATGAACCTTACATTCATTTATTTCCGTGTTTTAATGCCATCAGTGTACTGTGATAAAAAGAACAATTTCTGTTCATGGTTGTTTTTCAGTAAGATTTGATTTATCTACAATAAAAATAAACCTAGTATTACCGATGTTATTTGTGATTACGAAAGACTATGGGAGGGGGGTGAGAAGACAGGAATACTTTGGACCAACAAGAAGACTAGAGAAGATTTGAGCATCATCGACTATTTATGCCTAATGTGAAATAAACTCTAAGATTACACCCAAAAATTACCGAATTGACAGCAAAAACAGGAGTTCAGCTGGACGTAGAGAAGACAGAGATGATGAGGATACCCAGTCATCAACCACAAATAGTACCAGCTACTATCAACGGCAGAAATTTGAAAGAGGCGACTTCCTTCACTTTTCTGGGCAACATCGTTTCAGTTACAGGCGTATAATGTATGAGGATCTCAAGGGCGGCAGTATCGGAAATGTAGGGCAAACCTTTGTCACTCTGAGATTGGTATAGAAATCTTCTGCATTCAGCAGAAGATTCGGATCTTTAATACTGGTTTCAAGTTAGTTCTTCTATATGGGTTAGAAACTTAGCAAGCTCATAACTGAAATCTTTAGCCATCAAACTGCATACTTCGCTGACTAGGTCGAGAAGATCAGATGGTGTGCCGGAGAGAATAAGAGATAAGCAACTCTGACACCAAATCAACCAAGAACCTAAAGCCTAACAAATATGCGGAACAAAGACGCTGAGGAGACTGTTGAACGACATCCCGATATGGTCTGTCGAGAGGATCCCAAGTGGGAAACAATGAGTTGTGCGTTGTTCTGAAGATGACGTGTAGGACATCGTCAAAGGGAGAGATGAGAACTTATGGTAAATCATAAGGCCAGCTGAAAAAGACTGCAGGGAATAGAGTAAAATGGAATAGAAAAAAAGAATTAAAATTCACCCTATTCACGGGAAAAAGATTTCGGAAGTAGGTATCTGGTAAGTGATTCATGATATCTCCTAGGAAAATTATTCTTGGTAGGATAATTTATGCTCATTTTATCATTTAGCTGGCCTTATGATTGATACCAGCAATTAATGTTTTATTTTCGTAGTAGACAGCTGTCATCTGCTATTATCTTCTGATTAATTATTTGAAAATTCGTAGAGTTGACATTTATTTCACTGTGGATGCTTTGGTTTCTATAAATTGTCATTGAAATGAAAAACGGATAGAAAGCATGAGTTGTCAGATGTTAACTCGTGCGAAGCCTACGCGAGATAATTGTCAGTGCCTGTTATTAGTTACGCTGGAAACTTTTCGAAATGTTGTGAAGATACACTATTCATCAGAGTGGTTTACTGGCGAATAACGCTGCGTTTTAGTGCTCACCACTCATTTTTTCTGACCACGACGACCATCAACATTAGTTACTATTTGTTAACCAGCTTGCAGGTATCCTATTGAAAATACCTAGTTCAAATTAAATACAATCAAAATCAAAATTCAACCCATTTACATAAGAAAATACGTGTACATCATTGCTTATTGTTTTTCACGATGCATACTACTGACTGATCTCTGTGAGTAGTCGGAGACCATTCATGTCGTGCTTATTGAGAAGATCAAGCTGATATTAAACACCTTATGACTGAATCGCTCGTGTGACAATGAGACCTCATACTGGTCGTTCGACACAGACCCTAGGTAAAAGGGTTCAAGAACGCTTCCCCGCATGCTTGCAGAAAAGTAGCAGTGGATCTAATAAGAAGTACGGTAATTAGATACTTAAAAGACTCTTGCCATTCTTTCTCAAAAAATCCTACCTGATGGTAATATATAGAGTAAAAAGTAACCTGCCTAAGACAACCCGCTTTCTCCTTCTTTGAACTGCTCAATTTCTAGCCACTCAGTTGGAGAAACCGGGGCTGTGTGTATCAAATAAAATGTTTCATACAATTCTACTATCACGGTAAGGATCCCATTATTATTTTCAAACTAAATGTCTTACTTATTTTGATTCGCATACCCTTTCTGAGTCATCCATCCCCCCGAGCCCTTAGGTCAAATAAAGTGTCCTCTGATTCTAAGACCATCCTAATCACAACTTACTTGTTAAATTACTTCTCATTACCCAATCCCATCACCCTTATTCAATTTCCCATATATATTGACTGATATAAGCAGCTAGTCTTATGATGATCCATCCTGTTCTCACTATTCACTTTTACTTGAGGAAATTGTGAATGAATATGATTGTACAGCTAGAGAAAATGAATTTGATGGAAACAGCCTCTTCACTGAACTATTTGTCTTGCGTTTTACTGATGCCTGAATAAGAATTATTCATGAAAAATCATTTGCTGATACTCCGAGCCTTCATTTTATTTTCTTTACGATCCCTCAGTGGAACATAGGGATTTAATCTAGAGACTTGAATTTTCGGTAGAAGTGGTGTTAACTTTTACGGGATGGGATTGGCAGCCTCATGACTAACCTTCCTTCTCTCACCAGTCTTATTACTGGGTTATCGAGATAAGGGAGTGAGTCGGCCGGGAAAAGAACCCTGGACCACCTGCGTGGTCGGCGAGCATTTTACCAGTGTGCCAACGACCTACACCGGACTTTCATAGGTGATTCACTTCAGTACCAAGGTTTAGTTATGTATTTAAATAATATTTCCATCACCTCATATATGATTCCAATCCATAAACTAACAGGATGACGCCTACTCATTACAATTTTGACCATTTACGCTCTGTTTAACCATCAGACTCAGGGTAAGCCACATCACAAAACGCTTCGCTGACGTTTATCCAAATATGTGATCAGAATGTTCGAAACATAATCACTGATTTTCTTCTCTCTTGTATGCCTTCGCACTACTGTTGAGGTCTTGTAAAAGTTAAGGGACGGAAACAATCTCAGTAGGTTACCAGACAGTACCATTCCAAGTACCGATTAAATAATTAAAGTAATATTTTAAATGAAATACACACTATCCTAAAATACGAGCTGGCGAATCGATGGTAGACTGCCCTCCAGATCCATGAGACCTTCGGGTTCTATTTTCGATAGACTCACTATGAAACTCCATTTGACCCATAGGATGTCCAGAAAAATGGGAAGTTCTGACTTGAGGCTAGCAACCTCACCCACTGAAAACAACACCACTACTACTACTACTACTACTAAAACTTCAATACTCAAAGCTTGAAGTCCTGTATTCCACTAAAAAACACAAGAAATAAACAAAAACAATACAGTAAAAAAATTCTTCACAGAAATAAAAAAGAATAGAAAATAGTCCACGATAACTCACCCTGTAACTACAACAATAAAATCCATAATGTTCCATATATTTCTAAGATATGCTTTCCGATGAAACAAGAAACCAAGTGCAACAATTTTCAGTAATGCTTCCACACAAAAAATAATTAAGAAGTATGTTTCCGTTTGTTCCTAAGTGTGAAAAATTTTTTTCATACAGAAAAGAAAACCAAAGGTTGATATATATTATTTTAAATAAATTATGAAATATAGTGTGGTGTATCACATGATTCACTACATGTTAGGCAAGGATATGAATAGGTCTCAGACATGATTCAGTCAATTCATGCATGTTTGTTTATTTTTTTTCACTATACGCAACTCACCAGAGTAAATGACTTCAAATCATCCTACTTTGAAAAGAAAGTATACTGGACTATGTAAAGTTACTGTGACGTGACAAAAAAGCAAGAATTATAGCAGTTGAAGACTGCAGTTATGATGCTCACTAGTATGACATTGGGCGCATACTTACGTCATAAGGATAAGAAATTCAAATCGTCTGAAACATGATGTGCTTGTTCGTTTTTACTACAAGCCTTTTCCTCAAAGTTTCTTTGTTCTTGTAGTGTTCTTTTTTTCATGTTCATTCATACATAAGTTTTATACACTTTTCCGAACAAATAATTATGTTTGCAGTATGGGCGGACATAAGTGAAACAACTGTAAATCTACTCAGTAGTTGCCTATTCTACACGCTTAGATTTTAATTCGAACAAAGCAAGAACAAATAGATGAGACAGTTTGTTTTATTTCATGACTTCTGTACGGCCGCTAACTGCCTAAAATTCATGAAGGTGAAGTTATAAGGTACTTGCGGTAGACCGTGAGTAGTGATAAAACAGGAATATTCAAGTTATATATGTCCAAAGCAAGTATTGGTTTGTAGGGATTTGACTGGTTGGTTACAGGATTTCATCATGAGCTGACACTGGTTAGAAAACTATTGGAAAACCTTCGAGTACCAGACAGCTGTTTCTTCCTAGTTTGGATCGGGTCCCATTGGATGAGCAGTGGTCTACTACCTCGCCTTGTAACCGCAAGGTCCTGGGTCTGTGCCGATGAAGAGTCACAAACTGAAGCAAAACAGCTGTCCAGTACTCCCAGGTTTTCCAGTGGTTCTCTAACTGATGTCAGTTTATGATGACATCCTGTAACCAAAACAGAAATACTTTAGTCTGATGAGACAACATTAGAAGATGTGAACTTCGTGGGCAATTTCTGTCTGGTATCACATAAACTCGAAAGTTAACGGGCGAAAATCAACAAATTGACAGGAGAAGCTGCATAGGAAGGACTTCTAGTGAATATAGAAAAGATAGCCAAACAACCACAATAAGCACCACTCACTATAGACAGGAGATATTTGAAGGAAGTCACCTCTTTCACTAATCTTTGAAGTGTCGTTCCAACTACAGGTGCTACACATTAGGATTTCAAAGCTGGCAGGATTGGAAAGGTAAGATAAGACCTTCACCAAATACATTTCTAACAGCCCCTGCAAACATTATCAACAGTTGCCTTCGCTGGTTCCATACTGAAGATCAAATGGCCTACTAGAACGGATCGTATATTAGGAACTCTGAGAACGGACTAACCAACAATTAACTGCTTGAGAATTAAGCCGAAGGAAATGAAAATGAATCTGCCATATGTTGAATAGCCTGTTGAGTGATATCGCGTGTCCGGCAGATGCTTGACTTGAACTAAAACGGAAAGCGCCTTTTTGGGCGTAAGTCCGAGGATCACATGGTAGTGACAGTGTGAAGTGGGGCTGGAAGCTTATGGTCAGTCATAGAGCCAACTAGAAAGATTGCACGGAACAGATTGAAATGCAAGTTTTCTGTTGAGGTTGTATGTTTAACTCGTAACCTAATGGAATAATAATATATAACATACTTCATAAATATTTCAACTCAAACGACATTAGTTTGTTCTTGACATGGCCATGGATATAAAAAGGTGTGAATAAATGGCTGTTAGCATGTGAACAGTCGAGGGCTTCCAAATTAAGCAATTGTTTGTTTGCACAACAGTTTTACTTACATTTATTCCCCTGACATCCTTATTCTTTTCACTCTCGAACTTTTCATCATACTGAGCATAAATACAGTCTGGATTTTGCGATTATTACCTATCTTGTATTCATATCTACTATTCATTCACTACACTAGGGAGTGTCGAATATCCTTCGAGTTAAATTGTTATGAAGTACGTTATATATTTACATATAAGATAACTTATGTCACTTTTAAGCTGTTAGTAGGTGAATAAATGCTGTGAAATACATTCGTTCTTGCTTTGTGCAAACTTATTATGGTTCCCAATGGTAGGAAATTCTCGAAACTATGTATCCTGACCTGCATTTTAATTTTATTCTATTTTTAAGAATCCAACCCACTCAGAAATAAAATTTATTGAAACAAATAGACAAGTTTACTGAATGTACATCACCTGTATCCTAAATACTTTAACTAGCTGATATAAGTATAAAACTTGGGCACTGTGGTAGAGTATAACTCCATTATGGATAAGATTTTATTTTGATAAATCACACAGTGTTGTACAGTAATATTAACTGATGACGTTCCGAGCACAAACTATTGCTCGTAATCATAACTTGATATGATTATGAGCAATAGTTTGTGCTCGGAACGTCATCAGTTAATATTACTGTACAACACTGTGTGATTTATCAAAATAAAATCTTATCCATAAGGCAGTTAGTTTAACTAGCTTAGTTATGTTTCATGTGGATCCGCTATATCTGTGCAGTTCGGCGTATGGAATAATTGGATACCGACTTCTCAGGTACTAAAATGAACTTCGTTGCACGATAAACTACACACATTCATTCACCCAGTATCGAAGAAATTATTAGAAATTTGAAAACTTCTAACTGACAATCGTTGTAATGGTGTGAGCTGTTCGTAATGTTCTCATCCAGAAGTATACATACATATATATTAGACTCTTCCCAAGATTCTGTAGCAATTAAAACGATGTACTTCAGAACAGTTTCTGTCACATTAGGTCAAAATATTCAACTGAAGATGCCTACAGGCTGCCCCGAAGTGTTGCGTCAATCAGGCCTTACTGTCTTATGATGACGTAAAATCTTGGAAATACTAAAAGGCTGTTTTTAAATCATGTAAACGGTTCACTAAATCTTGAATACTTAATGTGATACTTATTTAAATGAGACCAATTCGTTTATCTGTGTTAATGTATTGAAGACGTCAAGTAGAGTTTAATTTTAACATGCCAACGGTACCCAAAGACCCAAGATGCAAGTATGCCAAAATAATATTTAACTTCAACAACATTTATTCAACTGTATGAACAGGAGAATACCCAGATATTGGAGCAGTACTAAAGAAGTTTATTTTAATGCCACGACTTCGACCTTATGTAAGACATAACTCTGACTTTTCAATAAAACTCTTTTTGATGTGTTTGTGTTTTCTGAGCAAATCAACTATCCAGCTCAAAGAATACAACCACATTAAAATTATCCACCTGAGCTACAAATCTTCTCTATCACATCAGTAAAACTCTGTGACATGTAAGAATGATGTATTCAAAGGAATGAAGGTTTATTCAGGACATCAGGTTTTATTAAGTTATCCAGATTCAGATGATAAGTAGTAGGCTCTTGTGCCCTGTGTTAATCCTTACAAAATATATCTCTGCAGAGATCTAAATTCTCTTTGAAAGTGTTCGCTAATGGAGCTGATACTACTGAATCAGGTAAGGAGTTCCAGGCATTGGCCCCTCTGTGGGAGAATCTAAATTCCACATGTATTTTAATCGTCCTCCGTTTGAGCACCGTAAATGTATCTCACATATATCATACCATATCATATTATTCAGTTGAAAAATATATTATATAACGGTGGATGGTTTCAGAGGGTCAAAGAGTTTATAAGAACTATTACGGAGTAGCACAGCCTTCGCTGTTGCTGAATTATATAAGTAGGTCAGCTAAAAGGGACGAATTTCCCAGTGATTCTAATTATCTGCTCAGGTACACCAGTGAGGAAGAGAAGAAAGCAGCTTCCTGGCAAAGCGAACTTGCGATTTATCAACATGTATCAGACTTTATCTCCCAATGTAGAATTATAAACCAGACTGTGAAATTCTAAAATGAGTATTAGAGGATTACTGAAGAAGAAACCTGTTTCCATTTCTCCTCTATTAACTAAACAGAATCTGGGAGATCGGAAACATTTTTCTTTCTGATCTGAGTTAGATGCAATACACAACAACCGAATGATTTCTGGATCATCTTGAAAATGTTAGGCAGCATTACTATTTATAAACAGTAGTATTTGCAAGACGATTTCTTGTACCTAAATTTCTGTTACTTCTTCGAGCGTGGCCAGTGCATATCTGAAATTATTTGAAATGTTGAGAATACCTTAACATCTTATAGTTTTACATTTCACAGATATTAAATCTTCAAACACACATGTTTTCTATACCCGCTGCTGTATGAATATGAATCATGCTGTCAATGTTAAATAGCAGTTAAAACTGTTGTAAATCCTCACTTTTAGATGAAATTTGCAATTTGAAAATCGATTAGCAATTTGCAATCTGCACAGTCCAACGAAGTGATATTTCACTACAGTTCCCTGTGGAAACCAAAATTAATCAGATCACAAATTGTGATCCGCCTGATACCATAAGTGGTAATCAAGAAAACAACCACATTTGCACAACAACTGTGGACCACTGATTGGTTGCGTCGAGTAATTATATGCCAGTCAAACCAACCAGTGCTTATTGGCCAGTTAAATCGAAGGGATCTAAATACCGGACTTCCGTTTCACTCATTTCAGGGCCGAGCTCATAGTCAGTGTACTCGCTCTGATTCAGAGAGCCAAATCAGTTTAAACCGCTTTCGAACTCTGAGAAATTACAAATGGCTGGTTAATCTACACATTTCGAATTTTATCTGACGTGTCGCTAGTTCCATCAAGTAGCTAGACAGAAATCCAGTGGTTTAAATTATTGATTCAGCTAGTTGAGCTGAGTAAGACTGGGTGCACTGCTGATAAGTCTGTCCCCGAAAAGAGCGAAACGACAGTCCAGTGTCCATATAACTTCGATCCGGCTGGCTAGCATGAACCACTGGTTGATTTGACTGGTATACAACTACTCATCTCAATCAATCAGTAGTATACAATTCGTGTGCAATTGCGCATATTTTTTCGAATCCTCTTGTTGGTTTTTAACCGCTTCTTTTACCGACAAAGGGAAACAGTTCATTTGTAGAGAAGAGCATAGTATTCACTTCAAACGTCCGCCTATTTCGCCACTACACACATATGACGTCATCTTACAGTTGTACAGATGAAAGGAATCGTCGCCGCGTTCAATACTTCAGTGTTCCTCCGTTGACTAATTTGTTAGTAATGAGATTATAATAAGTAAAATTATTAACATAGTAAATTTTTCTATTTAAAAAAATTAATGTACTTACTAATTTCTCCGATAAGGCTGTTTTATCATTCGACGGTAAATGCATTTCCATAGCTAGAACTATACAATTGGCTAAAATAGTTGAAAGAACCATATACTCGAACGGCGTTAAAATAAAATAGGCAATAATCATGAAGTTAAGGATAGCATTCAGAGTAGAGAAAAACAATTAAAAAAATACACATTTTCTATTTACTAACAATATGGATATCATTTCTGAACTAGTCATGAATCTCTACATGCCTTGATGATTACTTACATCAGTTATACTGTTGGCATCCATTTGAATACTTTGACGAGAAGGTATCATGCAAGCTAACGCTGATCTTTAAAGTTTCTATGCAAGTTAGACAAGGCTAAGAGTCTTTTCAGAGTATTGCACTTCAAACATTCATGGCTAACATGAGATATATTTTTTCACAATTTACCCACTTCCCGACTGACCATCACTGGAAGCGGACAATTCATGTAAATAAGCCGAGCTTTGCTAGTCTTATGGACTTAAACCTACATGATCGGTGTCAGTACTGATTTCTAGCATCTAGTTTCAAATATACCTTAAATTATTCTTTAGAGGGATAACAAATTACTTCTACTAACTATTTCACTGAACATTTTATCACAGATTCAATCAGTTGTCAAAAAATAACTTTAAAAGACCTTAATATTCAGGAATGAATCGCTGTCAAACCTCTACTTCAGCTATGTCGACTTATAAAAGGCCAGAAGTGAAGTAATTTTTAAGTTGCATCAGCATTTTGAAGTGCATTTCCCCAAACTTGTATCAACTTTACTCAACAGGTATTTGATGATGTCATATGTCAAGAGACTCACAGAGGGAAACTCAAAGAAGCCTCTGAAGTAAATACAGGATTTACACAAGGTTGCTTGCTACCATTGATGATATACCTGATTCAGTAAATAGAATCACGCGACAGACCATGGGGAGCCACGAATAGGGATTTTTCGGGCCAGCGAGGGGACACTGAAAAATATAGCCTCCGTGGATGAACTAAATCCAGTGTCACACAAACTCGAAGATCTTCAGGTGAAAACTGAGAAGTCTGCAGAAGAGGCAGGCAGTGAAGACAGGACTTCTAGTGGATATGGAGAAGACGGAGTTGATGAAGATGCCTAATCAACATCAACAACAGCTGACCCGCACCAGTGGCGAGAATCTAATAGAAGTCATTCCCTTGTCTTATCTGAACTAGTCGGTATCATTTCAACTACAGGAGCCATGAATGAAGATAATAAAGGCAGAATTAGATAAAAAAAAAGATACATCGCCATTATTCTGAATACACTGTGGGAATCTTTGCACTCAGATTAAGAAACATGTTCTAGGAATTCAACACAGATATTTAAACAGTGCTTCTCTACGGTTCATAGAAAAGTATTTTCAACAGGCTGTAGACTCCCGTCATCAATTGTCTTCGCTTTTTACAGACACTAGGCAAGCCAGAAATGCTAAGCAGTGAGAAACACTCTCGGCGAAGCTGTTAACGTTCAGCCACACATCAAATATATAGAAGGAGACGGAGATGGATTGGACAATCTCTGAAGAGACCATTCGGTGACACCGCGTAATACGCCCTTGAGTTGAATTCGAATGCCAAAAGACGTGTTAGGCACAGGTTCGGCGGTAACATGGAGGAAATCGTGTAGGCAGAAGATAAAGGTGTATGAACAATTATAGAGCCAGCTGAAAGAAAACTGCAGAGAATAGACTGAAGCCCTGTTGAAGCTGTTGAAATCCTGTATTCTACTGAGAACTCAAGGGGAACAGTAGTGAAACAATAATTCGTGAAAGTGAGTTTTGACAAAAATATTCCCTCCTTCTACAGAACAGTATTTCTTTACCTGAATTTTAAAAATTTCGTTGAACATTGTAGGATATTTTCTAATGAGACGAAAGCATAAACTGTTTAAATCCAATGTAATAAACTATATAATTGCAACCAAACATGAATTTGAATTCTTTATTCAGTGTTGGAGTTAAAAGTGATCATTATCAAATATTCTAAGTATAATAGGCTAATTAAAGACTCCTGTACAGTGTAATTATTACGATGCAATGCAGCGATGAGTTGTATGGCAAGAAATCTGGGTCATGCACGACCTGAGGCTAAAACTATGGAAACATCTCCCTGATTCACAGTGAAATAAAAGATTCATTTCCATTGGTAATGTTAAAATGACTAAATAAACTGATAGTCGTCCAAAATATTTTCTTCGGTTGGGAAGAAAAAAGAATGTCATCAATTTGTTTGAGTCAATATTGACTTCATTTTTTAAAAAAGAAAAAGCCAATTAATAAAAAGAGAGAAGTAAAAGGATTTTGAAGCAACAAATTTTCTTGTACAAATGAATTTAACGAGGAATTAAACTTTGTTCCAGTTATAAACCAATGGGAGAAGAAAAAAAGATGAATCTGTATGTTGTCAGCAAACTTTGATTTAAAGTTAAATAAATTCGGTTCGCTTAACCGTATGCTGTGAAGACGAGAATGATATACACGAATTAAACTGTTATGCTTCGATAACATTAGGCTGATTAAAATACACATCATCAAATAGTTTACTATATAGATAAAATGTTAACTGACACCATACTACTCTCACTTTGTAAACAGTAGATACTAACTGTTGTGGATCTAGTTCTTTTTTTATCCCTTTACGTTCCCAGTGGAACATAGAAACACAAGCTAGAGACTTGAAGTTTCGGTAGAAGTGCTGTTTACTTTTACGGAATGGGGTTGCTAGTCTCATGACCAACCTTCGCTCTTTCAGCAGTTTTATTACTGTCTTATCGAGGTAATGAAGTGTGTCGACAGGGAATCGAACCCTGGACCACCTACATGGTCTAATTAGCTGATTAGCTCAGTCTAAAAGGAGTGCAACAGGAAACGGATATTTGTTTGATTGGTATTCACCTAATTATTACAATGAACTGGTTGAGTGATTTCAAACTCCTAATGTTGATCTGTAGCATAATTCATGCAGTGACTTTAGAAATAAAAGATATTAGAGTTCCATTATGGGTAAGTTTTTGTTTTGATAAAGTCTCACAGTGTTATACAGCAATGTTTACTGATGACGTTTCGAGCACAATTTATTGCTCATAATTATATCAAGGTACTCACACGACTTCCTAACTTCCTTTAAATAGTTCCATTATTTTTCACTTTATTTGATTGGCACTAGTATTTTCCATATTTCAGGTGTGAGTGAGCGTCGGTGGCACAGTGGTTAGGACGCTCGCCGACCATGCATATGGTCCGGGGTTCGATCCCGGCCGATGCACTCCTTTACCTCGCTGAACCAGAATTAAATCTGGTAAAGAGGAAAGGGTAGGCATGGAGCTAGCAACCCCATCCTGTAAAAATTAACACTGCTACAGAAACTTCAAGCTTCTGGCTTGAAGCCCCATGTTCCACTGGGGACGTGAAGGAATAAAAAAATAAAAAAGGTATGAGTAATGACTCATTCCTATCGCAAGTGTTTGGTGTAGATTCGATGAACATGGATTCAGTAATCAACCTCTCTCTCTCTCCACCAATTTAGATTACTTTTTAGAATTTTAACCCTCTCTCATTGTGTGACTGTGTGTTATGCATGTATTGTAATCGCTGAGCTTTTTTCTAAATTACTTATCTTTTCAGGGTCAACCATTCTTACCTTAGCTAAATTCTTATGTTCTGACAATCTGACTACCCCTGATCTACTAGTTTAACCTATGTGGTTGACCTCACTCACAGTCATTGCAGGGTATTTTGTAAATTATATTATTTTGTCTAATTGGGTCAACTGGGTCCTTTAAGCTACATAGCTTGTCCCTGAGTGAGTTTGTAGGTTTAAATGCCACCCTAATTCCTGCTTTATTTAGAATCCTACGTAGCGTTTCAGATGTCCCCTTTTTATATGGTATAACTGTAGATGACATATTCTCTCTTATTTATGTTATTATTACTAGTTTCACAATTATTTTTATTTTTCGTTTGGCCTTTTTTGATCTTCCTAATGAATTTTAAAGGATAGTCATTTAATACCAAAGCCTCTTCTATCTGTTTTAGTTCATCATTTAGGTCTTTTCTTGTGCTACTTAGTGCCACTGCTCGGTTTGTTAAACACTTAACTAAGCCTGCCTTAACAGTCAACAGATGAGATGAATTAAAGTCTGAGTATCTATTAGAATAAGTTGGTTTTCTGTACACACTAGTGTGTAGTTTACCTTCTTCTATTCGTTTTATTTTACAATCGAACATAGTTAATTCTCCTTGTTCGTTTTCCGATTCAAGTGTGAATTTTATTCCTCCACTAGTGAGTTCATGTGGGTCAAGAAGCTAGAGATATGTTCTGTTTTTAACACTGTGAAAGTGTCATCCACATATCTCCACCATATTTTTGGAGTAGGATTAAATGTATTAAGAGCCATATTTTCCCAGCTGTCCATAAATATGTCTGCCACAATAGGGGATATTGCTACACCTTCTGTTTGTCTATATATTTTACTTTGGAATTTAAAGATAGTAGATGTGAGGCATAACTGAATCCCTAAAATAATTTGTTCAATGGGCAGCTTTGTCCTATGATTGAGTTCAGGATCCGCAGTTAGTTCTTTTTTAACTGCTTTTAAGGCCATATTGACTGGTATAAAGACTATTTATGTCAAAACTAACCATTTTTTCATTATTCTCTAGTTGAACGTCGTTTAGTTTATTTTTCATCTCATATGAATTAGTTAGTCCAGGGTTTGAACGATTTCTAATGAAGCATAATATTACAGCTAAGTGTTTTGATAATTCATAAGTAGGGGTATTTCTAAAATCTAAAATAAACAGAAATCCTTTTGCATCATTTTGAACAATGTGCTAAAAATTATGAGTGGTCCAGGGTTCGATCTCATACTGACACTCCTCAACCTTGCCTAGTCGATAGAAAGCCGAGTAAGGAGAGAAGATTGGTTGTGAGACCAGAAACCGCATCCTGTATAGACGAATAACACCACTGCTAATGAAATTTCAGGAGCTGAAGCCTGAAACCCTAAGTTCCATTCGGAACTCAAAGGAACAAAATTGATTTAAAAAACGTCTAATTAACAATAA